ATAAATTGCCACGTAGAAGACGTCCGAGGCGGCTAGTATTGTTATCACTCCTATCCAGAAGCCGAGCTCGTTTAAGTAGGCATTGTCTGTTATTTGTTCGTTGTTGAGTTGCCAACTCAGAGTTGGGTTGGGTTGGGTTGGCTTCAAGAAGATTCAATTACTCTTACCTAAAAACAAAAAGACTCATCCCTTCAACAAGTTATTTTTTAAACCTGAAAAGAATTATAGAACAGATATTTAATTATTTTGTGCCTCTGTGTAAAGACGACTAAATATTGCTCTTGGTTTTTTCTTGGGTAATTGTTCTTTAAGTTTGTTTGCCTTCCTATGATATATTGCTTTTTATGCAAGTGTTTATTTCATGTATTTGTACATTAAGATCTCAAATATAATTAAAAAATGCACGGTTGTTTGTTATTAATTGACAATTTTTGTTTGATTTAACTCTGGTACTTATGTTTTGTTTGCAGTCCTTGGTACTTAAGCCTTGTGTTTTGTCTGCTTCAAAAGTCATGTACCCAGTGGCGGCTGGTGGATTTTGGGTATACCAATATTTCAGTTATTAGACATGGGACCCACACCAAATTTATAATAGTTTATAATGACATTAAATAGACAAGTTCGACGCAAAAAGAATTTAAATTGAAGTTTGCGAAAAAAAGTTAGTTTTTCCTGTCGCCTCACCCGCCTCCAGGCCCCCCTATTTAAGATAATTCAAATTAAAGTGGTGCAATTTATTATTTACTATAATTTATCGACAAATTTAAAATTTTACTTAAAAAATCCAAATATTACAGATTTTATTCGATTTTAAATTTTTATTATTTATTTTATTAAATAGGGGGGCCTGGAGGCGGGTGAGGCGACAGGAAAAACTAACTTTTTTTCGCAAACTGAGATATTGGTATACATAAAATCCACCAGCCGCCACTGCATGTACCTACTTATTAAAACGCTTAATATTATACCCGAACGATTTTTTGTTTTGTTTCGTTTTCATGGCGAGAAAGCTCGCTAATAAAATGAGCGTTTGGCAAATTGCAAAAGATAATTAATTTTGACGTTTACTGAAAATGAGTTTATTGCCAAAAAACGTCGACTTGATATTTACCCCTGCTAGGGGTATTTATTTTATTAACAAAAGTAAAATTTTGGTGCATCGGAATTATTCGTGTCTCAATACTAGTTTTATTTTTTTTTCGGTAATGCTCGTATTCGGGTATTGAGCGTAACATACTTGCATACTATTTTTTTCAAGCGGTTAATAATTTTTTATTTACATTGGATTTCTTGAGTTTGCGACATTTTGTCATGGGCAGTTAACGTTGACGTTTGACATTTGACAGGTTATGTGCATGCAGTTATTCTACAGTAACCTTTAATTTTAGAGTTACCTACATTGAATTTTAGCTAAATGCGATAGATTGGAAAGGTTCCATTGAAACCTCTATTTCTACGTAATTTACATGTATTTTTTATTATTGTACGGCGGTATGTATTATTTTTACTTTAAAACAAACTAAGCTAGTTATAAATCTAATTGTGGTTATGTATAAATTATTGTAGGTTACATTGTGCAGTTGAGTTGTCGAAATTCGTAGTTAAAAATGCAATTAATTTGGCTTTGGTGGTGTTCGGATGAGTAAAATCATATAAAAAAAGTAGTTAAATATAGCTTGCTTTACCACCCAGAAGAGAAAGTATTCCTAGCGGATAATAATCTTCGCTTTGAAAAGAATTTATATATGAGAAATTAAAATTTTTTGTGAACGTAAATGTTGTCCGATGGTGAATAATGTGAAAATAATATTTTATGTAATATTTATAAAACCATTGTGGCATTTGGCATAATTTCATCAAAATGAAATTTGGCCCTCAAAAGGGCTTTTAAATTCGAATTCGTTGCTATTATTTTTGGCATAATTATCTTTTTATTTACAATTGACAAGTAAATTATCAATAATAAATATTATTGTCAATTTGACAGTGTCAAAGTATTTAATTAAATTCTTTAGCAGAAGCCATCAACCTAAGAAAAAAAACACGAGTCCAGATAAAAAAATTAACTGTACATATACTTAAAAAAATTAAATATAAAAATAAAATTCAATTTTTAAATTTTTTAAATTAAAAAACACTTACTTAAAATAACCCCCTCTACAACGTGGAATACCGTTGGTCTACCAAAAATTTGAGCATTACAACTTGTTTTCTATTTAATTTGTGTATTTATGTACTAAATTAATTAATTAACTAAAAACTTGTCTATGTTATACGTTTTGCTAGTGCCAATTAAGATAAGTATGAAAAATAATTCTCTTACCTACATTGTTATGAATGACCAAAATAATTTTGAAAATTTTTGAGTGCCCAACAATGGCACTGCAGTGCACTGGGTGTAATTTTTGTTGTTGTATAACTTTATAACTTTATAACTTTATAACTTTATAACTTTATAACTTTATAACTTTATAACTTTATAACTTTATAACTTTATAACTTTATAACTTTAAACGAACTTGGTGGCCAATTTCTGCGTCGAAATATATTATGAAATATTTTAGCGTTTTCCAGCAGAGTAATGGTCATATTAGCCTAAAAATAAAAAAAACACAAAGAATTTGTTGTATTAACAAGAATAATCCGGTGTTTTTATTTGGACACCCATTTTATCTTATTAAATTTAAAAAACGTTTTAAAATTTACTTGAAAAATTGCCTTTTAAAAAAATATTTTTTTCTAGGTACCTATACACAGAGAGAAAGGAGTGGTTGTAAACACCGTAATAGGTTTATATTCACCTTAACGTAGCATTGTATTTTGCCGACCTCATATGGGTTTATAGTAAACACATCTTAAAGTATATCATATTTATTTGTTAATAAAAGTTAGTTCGGTAACAGTTAAAACATTAGTTAGTTAGCTATTAATAAAAAAAACGCTATGTTAGGAAAGTATTCTTATAGTAATTGGTCTTCACTTAATAGTTAATCCACAGGCGCTTTATATTAGAAAAGCCTATTTATAGTAAATGAACTTAAGGTAATACTTCATCCACAAGAGCTTTGTATTAAAAAGGCAATAGGTGTTTATTATAATGCGAGAAATAATAATAAATAATTTAATTAATTGCAATTATCAATTCATATTTTAACTATTAGAAATGTATGATTATTAGTATAGCATGTATTTATAACAGTGCGATTGTATAAGGTAATAAATATAAGTGTGTATTTATAAGAAAATTTATTTTTGAAAAAAAATTAAAAATATTTAAGGTGTAACAGAACAAAAAAAAAAGTGGCGTCTGGGGGGTTTTGGGTATACCGATACTTAGTTATAAGACATGGAACCCACACCAACTAAGATATCGGTATAGCCAAAATCCACCAGACGCCATTGAAAAATGAATACATTTAGAGTAAGCTTATACCTATGAGTACATAAAAATAATAATAATTAAAGTAATATTTTTAGAAAAAAGAATGTAGTGATATTTTGTTGCCGGAAGCTCATTTAAGATGAGTGGTAACTTCTGATTTCAAATCAATGATTTGTAGTTCTAAAAGAATGATTTGTAGTTCTAAAAGAATTTAATTTTTATTTTTTTAATGCTTTATATTTCCTGTTTTATTTCTATTTACCGGGCTCCCTATATACCTATATATCCGTAGGTATATACCTAGCCCGGTATATAAAAATAAAAAAATCCTTTTAGAACTGACTAAAAATCCGAAATTACCACTCATCTATAATGAGCTTCCGGTAACAAAATATGATTTCATTATTTTTCATAAAAATATTACTTTTAGTATTTTTTTACCAAGAAAACATAACTGCCGTTTCTGTGCAATGCCACTGGAGTGATATTCTTAACAGTAGTACACTTAGTTAAGAGTTCCTTAGTTAGTAGTTAGTTAGTTAGTTAAGAGTTCCTGACAATATGCCTTGGAATTTTCCATAATTTGCACAAAAAAAACGTTTCCACTCTATGATGACTATTCTATGATGGGAATCGACTAAATCTCTTAAGAGTCTTAACTGAACTAGTCGAAACTCGCATAGCCTATGCGGCATAGGTACTTTTTTATCCCCACTCCAGTGGTTTATTGGGTATAAATGAATCTTATTAGTAAATAGTAATAAGTTATTACATATAACACCATGCTATAGCAATAAATAATATATAATAATAAGTATTAAGAAATCTGTTTGGATAATAATAATAAAAACGTGTACGAGTCATCTCTTCGTAGATTTATTATTACCCGATGAGTTAACTATTACCTCATAGTGTAATATTCTGTAGATATTGTAAGATTACTGATATTAAACCAGTGTAATACATTTAAACCATGACAGCTAACTATTATTCATATAACTTTTTAAATAACCGCCAAATTATTACCTAATACTCTTTTTTTGTTAATAACCAAGACATCAACCAGCAAAACACCTTTGTGTGTTTAAAATCTATTCTATATTATTTATTAAAAAATTAGAGATATCTTATCTTGAGGCAATAATTAAGTTCTAGGAATTCATCATGTTTTACCAATTAAACAAAAAGTTTATTTATAATATTTCAAAATTTAAAAATTATAACTTTATGGTACTTATAAAGAAATGTGTTCGTAACTTATATTTTGTAATAATAAATGAGTGTTTTCTCTCTGTGTATTATTAATTTGTATTATAATATATAATTTCTATAAAAATGGCTAATATAATTTGTAAAAAATAACTGTGTTTATTTTAATGCCATTTACTTTTGTTACCTAATAATCGACTTGGAAATTGTTTTAATTATAAATAAATCCTATTATATCTTATAACTAATTAATTGATTGCTACTTGAGTTTACTTTTTAATTTATTGTTTATTATTAACAACATATAATTAAATAATCAAATACTATTATTAGTATTTCTAGACCTTAATTATTTAAGAAAATCATGAGTATAAAAAGAAAAATCAATAAAATTTTGTAATGCTTTGACAATGCATACTGTATTATTTTTGTTGTTATTAATTTCTTATACTTATGGTTATGGTCGCCATATGCGTGAGTAACGATGAATTTTGTTTTTATGTAGTAGTTATTATAATTTTATTATTTTTAAGCCGACTATATTAAGCCTTGTTCTAAGAGCAATATCGCAACATGTGCCCTAGAAAGTGCTAGGGCTGCTTACCCAACCATAGTAAAAGGTATGTAAGAAATTTTAAATATTCAGACCTTTTTAAGATCTAAAATATAAAAACATCAATAACACTACTTATAATAAATAATACAATATTTCATTTGTATTTGAAGGGGACCCTGAATTCGATATTCCAAATTTAAGTCCATTACATTTTCCTGAACTAGAAGTAGATGCTGGTGAAAACTTGGTATTAAAATTTAATAATTTAATAGTTGAAGGCATGGAACATCTTGATATCAAAAAAGTTGAGTAAGTAAATATTTAAAAATTCAAATACAGCTTTGTTTTAAAGCAGGGGATAATATTTTTAAAATACCCTAAAATTCCTTTCTTTTTAAGATACATTCATGTTTTATTAGTTTATTTGTAATACATTTTTTAAAAAATTATGAATTTAATTATATTTTCGTTTGTACGTATACCACAATTTTGTCCTATGAAACTGTATGAAAATTTAATTAGCTCCATGGGACTGCACTCCCCGTATTATTTTAATCCGTTGGTTTATTGCATTATTATATCCTACTTAGGTATAAAAATAAGAAAATATAAACAAAGATATATATTTGTTTAAATAATTTAATAATATATATAAATTTATATTATAATATTACTATAGAAAAAAATCAACATGGTATAATAAACAATGGAGAATAAAATGTATAATTAAGTATTTTATAAAGTTAAGAACCCTGTATTTGAAAGCAATATACATTATTTTAATTTCAAATTTTTTACACTGTTCAAAATTTCATGACCATTTTAACATCAAATTAACACCATACATGGTCTATATCAATACAAACCAAAATGGTGTTAAATATGGTTGGTTGGTCCAGTGTAAATTTAACTTTCACACAGTATTAAAATAAATTTTTCCTGGTGTAAATTGAACTTCTTTTCAGAGTTAAATATTATATGTTTTTGGTCAAATTAAATCATACCACACAGAAAAAAAGGAAAAAAACGAAAAAGGTAGTTCCTTGTCGCATTACTAGTATATTACCAGTGGTATTATTCCAGAAAATTGAACCTTCAACTCGCTAGAGATAATGTTTTTAGTGCGTTCCACCTTAAAATACTTTAAGTATTGACAGCTGTTTCCATTTAAGGTCTCTTTACACTTTTACAACTTGTAGTGTGACACCAAAGCAAAGGACTACCTGAGCTTATATACTCTTCATGTAAGTCAACAGAGACGAGATTTAAGAACGTCACGTGATTCACACCGCCTTTGCCGCGATCGGTACATACTATGCAACCAGGAATGCACAGCAAATTGTTTTAATCGTTTTAACAGAGTGCCTTAGGTTGAAGTAACTTGTATTTTACAAACAACATATTTAGTAAACTGAACCATGGTTTCACAAAAGTTTTCTGGGTTAATTTAACCAATTTAATAAAAAATAAATAGGTATCTGGTTTAGTACCGTCAAACAAATATTTGTTTATATTAACCTTCAAACAGTTGATTTAAATAAATACTTATGGGTCAACTAAATTAGTTCAGTTAAATCTATTCCTTTTTTCTGAGTAGGTGCACTTCTCAAATATTTTTACACCGTTTTGGTATTTGCTGTATATATAACATTTTCAACCATAATTCATGGTTTTACATTAAAACCACTTGGTGTTGGATTTTGACACCAATTTAAGATTATGTTTACAGCACAGATATTTTAAACAGTGTATTTGTCTAGTTTTAAATGTAGTAAAATATTTATTAAAAAAGACATCAAACAGAAGAGTCATAGACTACGCAATAAAAGTGTATTGTATTAATGAAATAATATTTTTTATATCTTTTTTAAATAAAATATACATATGCTATACCAAAATTTAATTTAATTTCATACTACACTTACACACAGTGGGCCTTAAAACAGCTCTCGAATCTTTGTTAATAACGCGAAAACATACAAAATGCTTAGAAAAAATAGGACTACAGTATGATTTCAATTGAAATCCACAGGGACACAAATAAAAATGTCTACCATATCATCGTTACTGAAGAGTCTACATTTCAAAAAAATATCATTGGATCTCAAGGAAATCAACATTAAAATTGTTGCCAATTTCTGGTAGCCGTTTTTTTTTTGGTTAGTGTAACTTAAAAATAAAGAAACTCGTACAATAATAAAATTAAAAATTGCGTTTTTGGACACATGTTTATATGTATTGTTTAGGAATACTTTAAATAAATAAATATAACTTTTTTTTTTAGATTTGATTTAGAAAATAAGAAAGCTTTTTTTGAATGTTATGGCAAAATATTATACTTCCAAGGACACTACGAAGGCGGTGGAAAAGTTTATGTTATGACATTGCAAGGAAGTGGAAACTCCAATATCACTTTTGGTAAATTAGTAGTTAACAGTTTTTTAGAAAATTTATGATTATTTTTTATTAAATTTTTAGTTGGAGGAACATATACCTATAGTTTTGCATGGGACATTAAAAATATCAACGGCGAAGATCACTTAGTCCTTAAAGATCCAAAAATGAAGTTTAAGCTTACAAGAGCACATTTTGATTTTGAGAATTTAGAAGGAAAGGACCTTCAAGGAGAAAGTAAGTTAATTAGTAATAAATTTTTTAAGTATTAATTTAAGTTAATAGGTACCTAAATCTAACCTGCTAACTTTAAAACATTAGATTACTTTGGCAATAAGGATATTTTTTGAATTGCTTATTTTTATATAAAATTATTTTATCTACTCCCACAGTGACATTATGCCATTTCAGTCACGGGCTAAAGTTAGGCTTTTTAGTCACGGTCTGCAGTTAGCTTTATTTTAAATTGGGAAAAGTGAGGTTAAATTTGGGTGATAGTTGACAGAAAGTATAGTATTCAAACCGTTTATAAACTTCTCTAGACACTCGTTTTTATTAAACACTCGATCGCAAGCTTCGCTTGTGCTTAATTAAACTCGTAGCTAAAATAGCGTTTATAAGACTTGATACATAATATACTTATAAAAAATGGAATTTCCTACCATACATAATTATACTTAGTCTAGTTAAATTGAAATGAAAAAATTACAAAAAATAATTATTTATAGGTTAAATAAAATACTACTACCGCTTAGTGACACTATATATTAAAAATATACCAACTTAGTAATAAAAGTAATTTTAAAATAATTCCAATTTTTGTTATTGCTTGATAAGTACAAAACCTGGTAAAGTTTCTTTTGGAATTTTGGAATATATATATAATATAATATAAACTGCGCACCACTCAATGTGTCGCGACCAAAAAGTTCATCCTTTTTCAAAACGACATAACTTTTTTGTTTCTAAAACGATTTTATTTTGGTTTGTGATGTTTGCTAGCCTCATCCTCTGGCAATGTATGCTATCGATATGAAGCTCGCGGTTCTTCAAGTAAATTTCCTACAGGGTGATATGTAAAACGGTGAAAATTTTCAATAAATTCATCCAAGACCCGTTTGTACAAAAAATATTTTTTTTATCGTTTTTACTTTGAACTAATGAAGTTTTATGTCTAACCTTGAAACGATTTTCAAATTTTTGGAATTGGAATCTTAGTAACGAAAATATGATTTTTTTCCAAAAGAGTACATTTGAGGCTTTTTGGTAGGCAATCCACTCAGTCTTTTTAAGAACAAGAATATAAGATGGTGAAAGATTGTTCCTTGAATTATTCTGAACAATCGACAAACAAAGTTCTATTAAGCAAATAACACTTTTTCAAAATTACAATTTGATGAAAATTTTCGAAAACTAAACCTGAACCGATATTTACGTTCGTGACATGTTTTCTTCATAATTTGACCTCCTGATTGTGATTTAGTTATCAAATTTAAGTTTCAGATAAATCCAAAATCACCAAGAATCAAAATTCGAAAACAATTCCCGGCTGTTAAATTACTCGATAAAATCCGATTGCTAGTTTTTACTGTTTTTTACTGTGTTTTGCATCTTTACGTTATTATCATGTCGCCGAATGATCAAATCGAGGATCAAATGATGAAAATTGTTCTTGGAAACCTACCTACCTACCTATATACCTACCCCTTTCTCACCCAGGTTACTTCCATTCTTCCTGAAATGCCATTGGGAATCCATATACGAGTTGGTCGTGCATGGTAACCATAGTACCTACTGAAAGTTTAAGGAAAATAAACATAAAAAGTAGGTATCTGTCAGTAACTTGATATCACTTTCAAATAAAATATTACCTCGTTTATCCGCGGATAAGTTCGCAATCGGTGTGCGAATTCGAGAACACGAAGACAGCATACAACAAATAGCTGAACCTCAACAAGAAGTATCCAAAGAGCCCTTCGCCGTGTAGAAATATCTGTAAACGTAAAATATTTTCCTAGAGGGAGAGGGATCAAGACCGCCTTATCCGATAAACCGTGTAGCAAAGGCGGACAAAGAAATATTAAAAGTTAATATTGTGATTGTTTGTTACATTTTTCTGCTGAATGTGGTAGTTTTGATTATGATTATATATTCGCATAAAATTTTCAAAAATTAACAAAATATTTTTATTTTACAAGTTATGACTAGTGCGCAATGTAAATGTGAGTTATGTAACATACTAACCACTCAAACAAATTGAAGTAATTTCACCCAAAAAATGAATACCCAAATGGCATTTTATTCATTTATTAATATTATTTTAATTATAATTTATTATTATTTATTAAATTAATTATTATCTGAAACTAAAATTTGTCAACTGAATCACAATCATAAGGTCAAAATTATGAAGAAAACATGTTACGAACGTAAATATCCGTTCAGGTTTAGTTTTGGCAAATTTTTACCAAAATGTCATTTTAAAAAAGTAGTCTTCTCGTATGCCGTTCTGGAAATAATGAAAGGAAAGGAACAATCTTTCCCCATATTATCTTCTTGTTCTGAGTGTATTGCCTACCGAAAAAGCCTCACATGTACTCTTTTGAAAAAAAATCATATTTTCGTTGCGAAGATTTAAATTCGAAAAAATTGAAAACCGTTTTAAGGTAAGACAATACGAAATTTTCTTGAAGAACCGTGAGCTTCATATCTATAGCATGAATTGCCAGAGGATGAGGCTAACAGACATCACAGACCAAAATTAAATCGTTCAAGGAACAAAAAAGTTATGTCGTTTGGATCTTATCTATCTATCTTATTTGCTGGGTTTTCGCAATACTATTGACTGATTATCCAATAATTACTTAAATACTTAAAAGTGCGACCAACATAAAAAAGAATTAGAACTAAGCATGAATTAAATTGCATAAGATACACCCACTTAAGCCCTGAAAAAAATATTTTAAAATGTATCATACATGAATGATACATTTTTAAATAATTCATATATGATACGCGGAAACCCAGAAGGGTAAAGCTTTAACGGTAAAAATCATATGTACTATAAACAATTATTTATTAAACATAACGTTTATGCTCAGCTTATAATCGAATTTCCCTAGGAATTTTTGTAGTATTCTTTATTAACATAATTAATTACTAATAATTTTTTTTTATTTGTAGAGGTTAATACACTAGAAGTTTTAAATGATAATTGGGACATGATAATAGATGAGGTAGGAGACCAAATTGCTAATACAATTGAAAAAGTTATCACTGAAATTATTAGTGGATATTTTGAACATATTCCCGAAAGTGAAATGTTTGCATAGTGGAAACAATGTATCATAAATTATGATTTATAATACACATTATTACATTATTTATATTGTAATTTTTTTGTTAATCATTATAATAATCATATTTTTATAATTATAATCTTTTCCTATGGTATAATAAACTGGTATATTTACTTACTTTTGTAGCTTAATTAATAATTACGTATTTAACTATCCTATGGAGGATTTTGGAAAATTTTGTGTTCGGTTATGATTGAAATTTAAAAAAAATACCATACCATATTTTTTTCAAATCTAAATAAATTAATAATTAAAAAATAAAGGTCTAAGTAAGTAAGTTTTAATTTTTCGGTTATACAGGGTATCAAACTTTTCTTACTTATAGTACTGTATCTTTCTTATTTATAGAAACCCATAATCATTTTTATTATTGGGGTACCCAACATATAAATAACACTAAATGCGTCCTACATATAAAGTCGACAAAACATTAAAATCCTATCTTAGTTAAAAGCTAAGCTAAATGGTTTACCAATAAGCGCGTCCAAACTTTAAAATTCTATACATAAAACGACATTCCTTTAAGAAAAATAATTAAAAATGTCAATTGTATGCAACGTCATACATTTTTTGCGGGGACTCCCGTTAATGAAACCTAAATTTAACTACAAATCTTATGATATTACGTTAATCGACAAAATTTGATTGTGCAACGAGGAAGCAGACCAGCTGCTATAGAGGTTGCCTCCTGTCTGGTAAATGCCAAGATCAGGAACTAACAACCAGCTCCAGAGCGAATTGCAAGAACAGCAAGGCCCTTAGACAGACAAGGGGGTTTATTAACAGGAACCAGCTAAAAGCCACCACAGGAGTCCTAACAGAATACTGGGTAGTCAAATATCACCTGCACAAAACTTAGCAACGAGACGGATTGTAGGTACTGCAGCGAAGTAGGCGAAACTACCGAGCATATAGTCTGCGAATGCGACGCTCTATTCAATAGCAGACTAAAAGGCCTATTCCCTTTCTTGCTGTACATAAACATCGTTTTGTTAACCCAAAGATCACCTATGTTTAAAGGTATTCCGTTTCTCATATGTTTAAAGGCTTGACCTTGAATCTTTCTAAACAGCGATAAATGTTTATAGGTCAGAGTATCTTAGTTTCATAACATAAAAGTCGCAGATCGTAAACTAAAATTGTGTTAAATAATTAACAACTTCAGAAAATGTACAAATTCTAAAAATACTTGTAAAAAACATTATATGCTGAACTATCCAAAGGACAGATCCAGTCCATCCTTATATTTAAAAGGGTAATCTTAAAATATTTTAAAATAATTATTTGAAACTTATTTTTACACATACTTTTAGTGACTTGAAGGCCCATGTAAGGAAAGGGCAAGAAAACTAAGTATTTCTCAGATGGAGACTGGCAATGTCGAGGAGCCAGTAAAACATCGGCATTGAGGATAAATTAACAGGGAATTTAGTGGTGGAGGGATTACTATTTTTAAACTCTGCATTGACCAGCTTTTAAGGTCAACACAGGCTACAACAGAGAGGCAAAAAGATGCCAAGAGAAAGTCCAACTCAAACTTTGATGAGTAGCGAAGGTGTAGAGTGTTCTTTGCTGTAGAAGTTTTAAAATGCATTGATAAATCCTAAAAGAGATTTTAAAATTAAGCAAAAAAGTTTAAGCTCCCATTTAAAGAAAAAAATTAAGATGAGTATTTAGATGCATTATTATTTTATTAGTCCTTATACTTTTGTTTGACTAATTTTTTGTCTTTATTTTTGTGTAAAAATTTTACAGGTATTTGATATTTTATATTGTATTTTTTGATAAATTTTTTTATTCTACCAATATATACATTACGGTGTTTAAAATGGTGTTGAGAAATTAATAGTACATTAAAAAACAAAAATCTTGGCGCTTCTTTGAGCCCTTAATATTAATATTAAGGTTTGCCTCAATTCATTTGTTGTTTTGCCATTTCAATAACACGGGATTTTTTTTTAATTTGGAATTCTTATAACTTTGGAATGGTTTGTTTTCGAAACACCCAAGCGAGAGGATTTATAGGAAATTTCACGCTCTACAAAAAATATCTAAAGGTCAAAGGTTTTCAGATCAACTGTTTCAAAGATATCAGCGATCAAAAAAACACTAATAAAAAATTTCAAATATTTTCCAATAAAACTACAAAAAAATGCCATATGTCATGTTTATATTATTTTTTATATAAAATTACTTTAATTCTGTTAATCTGCCACTGTAAACTTTTTTTTGCTAATTAATTCAATACGCAACTTACAAATACATAAATATAAAGATTAAAAATATTAAATAAATTATTTTTGGGTCTCTTTTATAACAAACTTATTTTATTTCCTACTAAATACTAAGAAATTTTATTGACAATTAATTTTATATAATAAAAAACAATATTTAACCACTTTTTAACTTGAAAATATTACAGTCGTATAAAATTACTTTTATTGCAATTAGGATATCGTTTTCTTCTTCCTCTACTTGCAACAAATATTGAAGCTGTTGTTCACCTTTCGTTAAGCATCGATTATACTGCTCTATCAATGCCACGCCGCCTTCTGAGGGCGGTCGCTTGGCATGAGAGAGGTTCGATACTACTAGAAGTTATCGAACTTTTTTTATTTTATAAATTTGTTGTTCCTTTGTTAAAAAGTTTTGGGTTGTGTTGGGTTGGTTGGTTTGTTTGTTTTAGTTTTATCGTAACATAAAAGCTCTGTCAAAAGTTGATTCAATTGATTTAATATAATTACATAATTTTTCTATTATTTTGAATAAAATACAATGATAAGTGTTTGGTTTGTTAGAGTAATAAGGAACTTTACATTTTCTTTTTACATAAATTTATAAATTTTATAAAATATAAAATAAATTTGTTATAAAAGAGACCCAAAAATCATTTATACGAGTATTATATTTTTAATCTTTATATTTATGTATTTGTGCTTTTATTGAGTTACGTATTGAATTAATTAGCAAAAAAAGTTTTATTTGGAAATATTTCAAATTTTTGTATTAGTGATATTTTTGATCGCTGATATCTTTGATATGGTTGATCTGAAGAACGTTGACCTTCCTCTCGCTTGGGTGTTGCGAAAACCAACCACTCCAAAGTTATACGAATTCAAAATTAAAAAAAAAAATTCCCGTGATATTGAAATGGAAAAACCACAAATGAATTGAGGAAAACCTTAATATTAATTTAATATTAAGGGCTCTAAGGCGCCAACATTTTTGTTTTTTAATGTACTATTAATTTTTCAACACCATTGAAAGAAAAAAAATAATTGTTTTTTTTTAAACACCCTAATATACATATACATATATGTATGTTACATACATTCACTTTATTATGAAACACTCTCGAGTTAGTTGAGTCAGCATTAGGAGTTTGTTATGTAACAGAGAGGAGATAAGAAATATGCGGTCTAGAGGAGTCATTCGTATTTATTTGTTTGAAGAGTACACACGAGTTTTGTAAAGTTATATATTAATTAGTATTTTGTTTATGAATATATATTATATATTTGAAGTGCGTGTTTCATTATTTAGAGCCTTTATAGTGAAGCGGCGGGATCAGATCGCTACGTCCCATAGTTTAAATAGATTTTAGATACATGTTTTATTGTTGTTTTTGTTTTGTTCCAGTGAATGTTTTTGGTTTTGCTGTGTACTGATAATTGGGTGTAAGAAAGACAAAAATGCCTTTTGGGTTGGTGAATGCACCGGCTGTTTTCCAAAGAACTGTGAATAAGATATTGGGTTCGATGAGATTCACAACTGCACTTGCGTATATGGACGATGTTCTTGTCCCTTCTAATAGTATTACATCAGGGATGATAGCCTTGGCAAAAGTTTTAGATACGTTTCGAGATGCTGGAGCAACGCTACGTCTGTCGAAGTGTCAGTTTTTCAAACGAAACTGGACTACCTTGGTCACGAAATTAGTGCTGAGGGTGTACGTCCTGGTACTATGAAAATCGAGACATTGGAGATGTTCCCCAAACCGAGAAATGTTCATCAAATTCGGCAGTTTATAGGTCTTTGTAGTTATTTTCAAAAATATGTAAACGGTTTCGCTCAAATTGCAAAACAGCTGACGTCTCTGACAAACAAAGATGTTGTTTTTGAATGGGAAGTAACACCGAATCGGGCATTTGAATTTTTATAACCCAACGCACCATATTTGACAAGTGCAGTACCTCTCATTCTAAGGCTGTATGTTTTTTATTTGCATACGACTATACATACAAATGCGTCAAAAGTCGGACTAGTTGGAATATTACTCCAAAGATAAGACGACAGAAACTTAAAGCCAGTTCTATATTTTACTCGTCAGACCATAAAAGAAGAACAGCGATACTATTCTTGGAAGCTCTAGCTGTTGTTAACTTACTGCAAAAGTTTCGCTTGTACCTTCTTGGACTTAAGTTTAAGGTGGTGATAGACTGCAGTGCTCTAAGGACCACGATGGCTAAGCGTGACATTATCCTTCGTATAGGAAGATGGTGGCTAATAATATGAAATCAATTCTACATAAGAGCGATTTATTTAATTAAAAAAAAAATTACTTTGCAGTTCTAAATTCAATATTGTCAAGTCCACTGACAGTTAAATCCTTCATTTTTAATTTTAAATTTGGTCCAGCGTCTACTTCAATTAAAGGCAAAATAAATGGATTTAAAGGAGGCGCATTCAATGTTTTATCACCTGAAATTAAAAAAAAATATTGGTAAACACAATAATTATTAAAATATTTCACCTTTGGAAATAAATGGAAAAGCCAATTTAGTTTGCTTTAAAGCACAATCATTAAGATTTAAATCATTTTTTCCAGATGCCCTCTACCATATATATATGGTAGAGGGCATCTGGAAATATGCATATATGCATAAACCAAAAAACAACGAGGATAAGCAAATTCAACAGGATTACGTCCTAAAAGACAAGTTGCTTTATAGAAAAACAGAGCAAGGGTTAAGGTGGTATGTTCCGAAGATTGCAATATCATCATGACAATAATGGTCATCTAGCAACCGAGAAGGCATTTAAAAGTATAAGTAGTTAGTAGTTTCCATGCATGAAAAAGTATGTGGGCCGATATTTA